CAGGATCCCTATTATAAGGACCCTAAAATAAGGTACCCCAATATCGGAAAGTCCCACTTCTTTATTAAACTTGGTATACCTAAGACTCTACTCAATGATCGAGGCTCCTTCATGCAATCCACCCCCCCAGAGTATAAACCTGAAAGAACCGACAGGTGACCGACCGCCAGGAGCAATGCATTGTTTGGGCCTGGGTGGGAGAAGTCGGGGTCGTGGGAGGATCTAGACCTCATGCTAGTTGCGCCGGAACCTTCAAACTGCATGTATAGTTCTTCAGGTTTGTAGCCTCACATGTCTGCTTGGACCTTGATTGTAGTGTAGTGTTTCAGTTAAGAGGGCCCGAAAGTGTAGCGTAAAAGAGGAGAGTGTCTGTCTATATGCCTGCCTCCATGTCTATCTACCTGTCCGTCCGTCCGTGTGTGTGTGTGTGTAACTGTATTAAACGTCTCTGTGATTGACTCAGTGCTTCGTGTGAGCCACTAAATTGTCCGGTGTTGTTGTTTGTGCCTTTTCCCACCAGTGACTATAGTTATGTTGTGCCCGGTATTTGTTCAACACTCTCTGTCATGTGACGTGCTTCATAAACCACTAAACCTCCGGTCTCATGACTCCCAACCATACACCATGAAACATGCCAGAACCTTGCCTGAAACCTCCAATCGAAACCCTGAAGTGAGAAGACATACAGCCGGGTCAGACCGTAGATTGAATCCGGGTGTTTAGGGTTTAGGGTGCCGTGCCCCTTTCTTTTGGTCCTGGGTTCCTTAGTACACCCCCCTGACCTACGGAAAACGAGTCCTCCTACTCTATCATCCCTGCTGACAAACTACCCGCTTGTAGTTACTTTGCCGGCGGCGTCCTCCAATGTGTTCATAAAACATTTGACGAAGTCCAGAAGCCACGCCGGAAGGAGCCTACAGCCCTTCATGGGGACACCTGGCACGGCACGGCCCAGAGCATGCGCTGCCTGGGAGGCCTGGGGGTGCCCGTTTTGCGAGCGTTCCCATCTAATCAGGCAGGGTGCGGGATAGACGAAAACGTTCGAGGAGGGGAGAGGGTGGACCAAAGACGACTGGACAGCAAACCCGATTCCGAAAGCTCTCCTGATTATTTACTAGATGTTCGTGCCGGTGCTAGTGCAGACTGAGCCCCAGCTGCCGCTATGCAGGAACATGGTTGTAATAAACTGATGGCTTCACCGGGCTTTGACATTCCTTCTTGCACGCTCCTGGCTCAGCCTTAGTCGACCACTTCACCCGGTCAGTAAACCCTTCCGATCGGTTCCCTAAAACACAACCCTGGCTCCGGGAGGGCTTTTGGGCAGCCATGCGCCCGAAGAGGAGATGCAAGACTAGAATTTGCTCCTGAATTTTCAGAAAGGTGAGAGGCTCCGAGAGAGCCAACCTCTACGCCTAACGTGCTTAAACCTGACATCTGAAAACCGACTTTTAAAATTCTGAGCCAGGCCGCTGTTGGGTGGAAAGGGCCATGTTCCTGAAGAGACGCAAGGCCAGTCACTCCGTTTGTGGGCCTTTGGCGTTTAAGGGAGCTCGCACGGATGGTGGAGGCATCAGGCTGAGGGCCTTGCTGCGGACTACAACTGAAGAGCCAGTTTCAGGAGCTGGTTTGTTGTTTTGAAAGTCTGTTCGTTCAAGAGACGTACGGGGCACGGGCGTTGGGGATGTGAGTCAAGTGCACCTGCAGTAGAGAGGGGCCATTCTGCTAAAGGTCAGAGTGGCCTGGTCAGTTGCCTTTGCCGTTCACGTGGCAATAACCCGAAGCTGACACTACGCAGTCACAATCGGTATAAGGATAATCCCTAGGGCTCCAGTTACCTAAATAGTAGGTTACTGGGGTACATAATATAGGGCTAGTAACCTACTATTTAGGTAACTGGAGCCCTTGATAATGATAAGGTTTCAAAAATGAGAACCACAACGCTAGTAATAAGTAGGCGAAGACAGAGAAGGAACCTCTAAAGTCCCCAGCGCTGGCACAGCAGTTCCCACGGTCCTGCCTGTGCACCTGAGCTGACTAACTCCGCGCTGAGAGGCTTGATAAGTTGACAGCGGTCCAAGTAGATATGTGTGTGCGTGCGCGTTTGTGTTGTGTTTGTGTGCTTGTGTGTTGTGTATATGTGTGGAGTGGTGTGGTGTGTCCGTGTGTGTTTTGTGTGTTTGTGTGTGTAACTCTGTGTGTGGTGTTGTGCGGGGTGGTGCATTGTGGTGTGTCCAGTGTGTACGCGTATCTGTGTTGTGCGCCGCGCGCTAACTAAACGCAGAAGTCAAGACTGCTCCGATCGCCCCAGACATCCTGGACGTACAGCTGGTATACTTTGTCGGCACCCCAGCGCTTCTCTGCGTTGTGTTGTGTGAGTTGCGTTGTGTTGTGTGAGTTGAGTTCGATAGCATGCATTGACTGACGACACAAGAGACTTAGATAGCCGATGGGTGAAGTTTAAGCTTTTCGGCCTGGTTTGTATTTTTTGCAAAGATTGAACTTGTGGGGGCCCGGTTAGTCAAGATAGGACCTTCTGGGCTGCTTACATACCTGCGCATGTATTTGTTCCAATTGGGGCGGAGGGGGCCGGGTCGCATCGAATGTTGGTGGGAATGGATGCAGCAGCTGTGCTGCAGTCATGAAGTTGGTCTTGGGCCATGTGGTGACTGTTGGATTTCCGAAATAGCCCTATTGTGTAGGTGCCGGCGGTACTGATTGAAAGCTTTGCCGCAGTAGAATAAGAATCTCCTGGTGCCACTCACGTTTCAGCTTGCTGTATCCTTTTTTGCCGCTCCAGGACACTGCCTCTGTTCCTCGATGAAATGCAGGAGGCGGATGAATTGCTTTGCCAGCTTGGCATTGCAAGCGAATAGGGGTTGTTCAAGCTTTAACGTCCGCCTCCCTGCGCCGTACCTGTTGAATTGTAATTTGAAGCAGACCGCAGTTCGGAACAATCCACGATTTGTTCTCTTGAGGCTGTCTCCCTGATCTCTTATCGGCGGAGCAGCCTCAGAATAGAATGTCTGGAACGTGTTTGCCAGCATACTGTGCATATCGAATGCAGGGGCGTGCGACCGCAAACGCTACTGAATCGCGAAACCAGTATGAGTATGTTTTGAGAAGCAAACATGCCATCCAGCTGGCTGCTGACGTGACACGCCACTGCAAATCCATCAAGTCCTTCACGTAATCCTAATCCCTTAGGCCTTCTTGATCCTGCACCTAGTGACCTAGTATTCCTAGTACTTGTGTAGGTCCAGTCTATAGCTGAACGCATCAAGACTTCCAGGCATCTTGACTCCCTTACATCCCAAAGATAACCTGAATCTCGTCAACTTGTCGCGTGGCTCTAACATGAAAGCTGTAGACCTGCGCGTCGTGATGGAGGGATTGAGCTGGCATACCTTTGGAAGCCCTTTTCTCGAGTACCCTTGACTCATTTAGGGGCTGTCCAAATGCACTGCTGTGTGCGTGCGGGTAAGCTCTTCCTGATAAAAACCGATAAAACCCATTACCTCAAAGAAGAGAACCTTCGTGGCACACCCCCGCATGTAGCTGCTATGTAGCTAGCGTTTCGTGGCAAGAGTGCACGGCTCGGTTGGGAAGGGTGTCTTCGTAATTGGATGAAAAAATGTAAAGGTAGTGAAGGTTGACAGTGGTGAGTTTAGTAGTGCTCCTGTCCAGGACCATCGTTTTCAGCGAAGAGAACAGGGGACCCTTCACATGCTAAGACCGTGCTGCTTGCACCTTTCCAAAAGCCGTTCGAAGATGAGAGCCTACTCTACTACAGGAGCCTGAATACTTGGGAGCTATCCTTCTTGGCTTAGGTCTCCGGGCCAGTTACACCTCACGTACTGAAGTTCCCCAAAAGATCAGACTCTAGGCATTCAGGCTCTTCTATGTGTTTTCATTGCTTTTAGTCTTACACGTTTTGTCAGGTCGGCAAAGTCTGACCATAAAGCCCGGGGGGCTGAGCCACAGACCAGAAGAGAAACAACAAAGTTGCGCTGGCTGACACTACCGACGATTTCAGCATCTCCTGGTGGCCGTTAGTGTCAGGATATAGTGGACAGCTCTCGTTTTTTGGAGTAACACCGCCGGGCGGCAGCAATCATATCTCGTGGGGCAGAACTCCGGGGTTCCTTCCAGCTTGCCTTACATGGGTGCCTGAGATGCTGGGGATGGATTAGAGCCAACAAGCCTTCACAGACAGCACCGTCCCGTTCAGAATTCAAAGAGAGAGCTGGGAGATATTCGTGCGAACACTTCGTTGCCCAGTGGATGCAGACCACATCACACCTACGCTTGCAACACGCAGCACGACACCATGCAAATCACGAGTACAGTGCAGGAGCCGGCAATATCCCTTCCAGATGCTCAAAGCCCGAACTAAACCCAAAATTCAATCTAGCTTCTTACCCTATAGTTAGTCAGAAGTCAGAGTTGAAATCTCAAATTTCAATTTTTTAGGGCTCTCTCGGAGCAGGAAAGCCGTTATCCTGCAGGATGTGTCATAATTTTCTTCCCCCTCCCCCCTCCAAATGGAGCCACCTCCCCAAGGCCTCGGCGTTTCGGTTTTAGGGTTCGGTTTTGGCTTCGGCGCTACAGGCTTCCGGCTGCAGGTGTTGAGTGTCGGAAGGACTGGTGGCATGGGTAGCCCGGGACAACCAGTGCAATTCGGATGGGCGTAGGACCCAGTCCTTACCCTAAACCCTATAGACCCCTTATAATATAACTTACTTAGAACTCCCTGCGGTGGGACTCTGTCAGCTGGGCGTGGGAAAAATAACTTACGAAGCTCAAGCCGCAAATCCCAGCCCCTCGACCTGATTACCTGCCAAACCGTAAACCAAAAGCGTCAATACGAAAACAGCATTAAACTCCCAATTGCAATCAAGATCGTGGGTGTAGGAGTCCCTACATCCCCCAACTCCCCGAACCCTGCAAACCCGAAACTTGTCCCCCTGTTTGTAAGCCCGATGGAAGAATGGAAAACCAAGGCGTTTTCTTCAACGATTTGCCTTGCCTCACACCGGGTGCACCTAAAGAGATTGGCTGGAGAGCCACTCGGATGATCCAGTGTGGGCATTTAGGAGATGTACTGGCTGAAGGTTTCCGGAGGTTGCCGTTAGTTTAGGGTTAGGAATGCATGTGAGTCTGCTGGCGCCCAGCATGCTTGCAGGGCTTTGTGGGTAGGAGGGTTGCAGCTATGGATGTTTGCGGGCAGGGCACTGGTTCATTGAACATTGTAGTATAGGTAAATATTCAGTCTTGAGTCTTCACTGACTATTTGTATCGATCACGAGTTCGGCATTGTTGTTGTTTTTTGTCTGCTTTTGCGCGATAGCAAGGCTTGCATTGCTGTTTTCATGAATTCGGGTCTTGAGTGTTTGGAGAGCAGGCCATGAAGTCTGAAAACTGATCTACACATCTTTACTGACTTGCGTGAGACCGTTTGAAGCCATCCGCTCGCGACCAGGACGTGCCGAAGCTTTGCAGCGAGCATTGCCTGATGAAGCTTGGCAGACTTGGGGCACGGGGTTTCAGGTTCCTAGCATGTTATCAAAAGAAACAGCGTTTATCCTCAGCCTGACGTTGCCGGGTCGAGTCTAAAACTCTACGACATCATGTGCGAGACATGCGAAACATATGGCCCCGACACGAAAGAAAGCGGTACAGCTCAAAAAGATAAAGACCGCTGTTGTGTATTAAACATCAGAATTCCTTTGCTGGACATATCTCGCCGTAGAGCGCAGTGTGACCCCTTCTCTAAGAGAAAGGATTGTTGCGCCCGGCATGGAAACCGGTGGCTGACAGCTTTTCGAGATGCTCCTTTAACTGTTTTTTAGGGTTTGCTTAGGGACTTTGTCCTTTCTGATATTCCGACGGTATCAATACCACAACCGCCCGTGCAGCTGAAGTGCAGCGAAGGGAATCAACAAATTTTCATCACACACCGAAGTCCCCCAGAAGGGAATTAAGCTCAGGCCCCGTCTCCTCCTGCAACTGGGCCGAGATTTGCTGCTTCGGGTCGAGAGCATGGCTTTCACCTGCTTGGGGTTCGGAGAAGAGAGGCAGGATTCCTGAGATCGAGGGTTTGGTGAGGGCACTTGGGCTTTGCGAGCGTGTCTTGCTTCAACCAAGGGAAGCTGCTTCCGTCGCACTTCCACTGCAAGTCTCCAATCCCAACCCATCGCTCTGAGTTCCACATGTGACGGTTTCTCATCCTCGGCACGGCTGCTGGCCACTGCTCTCAACATCATGTCGCAAGCACCACTCCGACACACAGCTCAACATTCCCTGCAGACCCATGGTGCTTGAGCCGTGATCCCTTGATCTAGGACCTACACCGCTGAGGTATGAATCTCGATCTGCCGCGGAAGATGCATGTCGCTCCAGACTAAAGTTTAAATCGGACTGAGCCAGATCTTTCCTGCACCACATCACAGCAAGTTTAGCTGCTCGATCATCCAGGATTTCTGGTCTAGTGTCTACGTAGTGTCTCTAAGCTTGAAAAATCTGCCGACACCCTGACCCTGAACCCGAGGTCCTTTCCTTTCTAAACCTTGTTGAAGAGGGGGTTTGGGGCAAAAGGGCTGGGGTTTTGGGCCAAGTCTGATGACGTCGTCCGCGTTAAACTTTGACCCCCCTGCGACCTGTAAAATTGTAAGCCCTCCAGCTTGAAATCTCTGGAGGTGATCAGTAAGCCCGAGTAGGCCCCTCGAAAACCCTCAGCGCACCTTTTGAAGGCGTTGAATATCGGGCGGGCTAAACGTTTACCAACAGTATTCCTTCGGGTTATTATGACTAATAGCACAAGATACCCCCAAACCCTTTTCGAATTAGTTAAGTCCTTGAATCCTTTAGCCCTGGAGAACAAAGCATCAGCTAAATGCATGCAAATTGAGCTCCAAGATAAAGGTCAGAGAATTTCCGATACTTAGAGAAGCTCGGGTGACGGCATACTTTTTCAAAATCTGGCCTAGCCCTAAACCCTGGACATCCCCAAACCGAGTCTCTAGGCATCGGTTTCATTGAGGTGGAATGTGGCCATCCGAAATTTACCAGTGCATCCTGCCTCGCAGCCCCGGGAAGTGGGGAAACCACCCTTCACGGTGCTTCGCTGGGGCAGGGCCCCGGGCTCACATGCCCAACTGCATCTCGGGAATCACAACTGAAAGAGCCATGCACACGCAAAACACGGATATATATATATATATACATATATAAACAAGTATGTGTGTGTATATAAAATTAGTGGATGTATGTGTGTATGTATGTATGCAGGTAAGTATGTAGGTAAGTATGTAGGTATATTTTTATGTGTACGTACGTACATACATACATACATGCATACATACATATACACACATACATACATACATACATTACATTACATTACATTACATTACATTACATTACATTACATTACATTACATTACATTACATTACATTACATTACATTACATACATACATACATGCAGACACACGCACGCACATCGGAGTAGGCCGCCAAATCCTGCATGCCTATGCCTCCAGAAATTAAGAGTAGAACTCCCATTGCAGCAGCCTAAACATCAAGTCGGGCGTGAGCCGTATTCTCCTAGGACCTAAAGCACATCTTACTTCTAAATGCTTATGGTTAATCTTGCCACAAGGAACCCGCCGAGAGACTCTTTGGGTCGAGCAGGTCATTAGGTAATCTGAACTGAACCCTAGGGCTCCAGTTACCTAAATAGTAGGTTACTGGGGTACATAATATAGGGCTAGTAACCTACTATTTAGGTAACTGGAGCCCTTGGGGAAGTCATGTAGAAGGTGAGCTGCGGAATGTGAACGCTGAGCTTACGCGGTGAATTTGAGATTCCCATGCTGCTCGTGCGAATGTACCGGAGAAGTCGCTCCAACAGAAAGGCTGCTGATAGGCTGATAGACGGCTTTGGTTACCGATCTTGCGATTTGTTTTTTCAGGGTCCACGGCTTCGGGCTTAGGGTTTACACCGGTCCCGGAGTTTCTACGTCTAGGGGTTTCGGAGGTCTGGGGTGGTTGGCGACTTCGACGACGACAACTAAGATCAAGGCGACTACGACTGCTACGACGACGACTACGACTGTATTGCAATAATGAGGTGTAACAGTCTTATGTCGTAGCAGTAGCAGTAGCAGGGTAGTAGTAGCAGGAGGAGTGTCTGTGATTTCGATGACGGTTTCTTACAGTATCAATATCAGACTAAGATCAAGGCAAATGCGAGCACATGGCAATCTTAATTAGCACTAGCACCTGTAGAAGTGTTCAGGTTTGATATGAATATGCCGTGAAGATTGGTTTAACGGTTGTTATAATTAATCTTCCTTTTGACCTTAATGCTAGTAATACTCGCAATATCAACAATACGGGTGTCACTGAAAAGCAACTTGTAACAACAATGCAAATGTTATACTCTTTGAAATTTTATTAACACGCGCATCAGCATTCATACTAGTATTGGTGCGTTTGTTCATTAGTAGTAACAAGTTTGTCCACTGTAGCAACAGGTTTGTCCACTGCAACCCTGGCTTCAATCTCGAGAGCAATGTCCAGAATGAAAAGAACAGCAGCAACGACAGATATAGCAATGGCAACCCTATCGATCGAAAACGGGTCTCGGGACCCATAGACACGCTCCAACTCGCCAATCCCAACCCTTCATTTCTAATGTGATGGTTGGAGGATGCCTACGTACGGACCCACGCATCCCAGTCCGGAACAATTATAGACAATTCGGAGCTAATGCGACAAGGGTTGATCATTGAAAGCTCAGTCATGTACACACTCGTGCGTGTATGCATTCATCCAGTATACAGGAAGCGTGCGACTAGTTGTTCTGGTCTTTGTAAACTTTGTCTCTAAACCCTAAACCCAAGCAGGAGTCTCGGACACTTATTGCCATGCCTGCAGCTGCGAGTGCGTGAGTCGAAACCCGAGGCCCTCTCCCGCTACTATTCAAACAGCGAGACACACCTAACCCAAGGGCTCCAGTTACCTAAATAGTAGGTTACTAGCCCTATATTATGTACCCCAGTAACCTACTATTTGGGTAACTGGAGCCCTAGGGATTTCTAACCCTGAACTTCGAACCCGAACCTGACGTGGAGGCGCTGGCTCAGG